TGGAGTGTATTATTACAAGATATAGGAATTTTCAATTCAGACAGATCATGTCAGTGAAGCAGGAAGGCCCGACGTTATAAGAATAGCAAGTATCAAATTCTTGACTTTGCTGATCCATATGATACTGCTTTGGACTCCAAAGAAATTGAAAAGATTGAAAAATACCAGAATCTGGCTAGGAACGTGAAGAAGATAAGAAACATGAATGTAGAACCAATTCCTCTAGTAATGGGTGCACTTGTGCAAACATGCAACGCGACCTTCACTTGAGCATTCCACCTACCGGCCAATGATCACCCCACGTTGCATTTCAATCCTCGATCTGGTCGGTGTTCCCCGAAAGTTGCGAAAGGGCGCGATGTACGCTCTCAAGCTAACACGATGAAAGAAAAACGCCACGTCGAGAAATAAGAGCCTTGTTTCCCATATTCGATGTAGGTGTTTATTCAGGTCCCCGTCTGCTTGTCCGGGCGGATAGGTAGGTGATACTATTTCTGCTATGTTAGCTCTACCCGCTACCAGTTCATCTCCCATCTACTCATCTCGACGTGATGGCTGATAATACTCAATGGAGGCTTCGGAACCGCGGCGTTTGTCTCCCGCCAAGTTCGGACCAGAACTCTCTCCAATCCGTAATTGTTAATATAGATCGGCACCTGGATATAGCCTATTTCCGGTTTTGTTGCCAATTGATCACCAAAACCATTCATATATCTTTTTACCTCCGAGTTACCCTTCGGTCAGAGTGAATGTCACTTAGAAGACCAAACCTCAAAAGGAACCATCCGCTGGTTCATCAAACAGAAATACTTGAGATCGATATAAAGCCACCTCTTCCCATTACTATATGAGTGTATATAGCATAGAAACTGAAGAAAGCGCTTAGGTAAAATTGGAATTAAAACCAAGATTGTAAACCTCCAAAAAACTGTTATCATTTACTCTGCAAGTTGACACCATGCACCAAAAAACAGAATTTCCGCTGACTACGTCAATGTGCTTCACCTACATAATAATAATATTAATCTGTCCAGTCTTAGCTTCTTACAAAGATCGACATGATAAGATTTGGCAGTATATTCACTGGAAAATATATCATTATTACAGTACAGCACATGTTGAAAAATAGTGTGAACATCACCCTGAGCCATTCATAGAAGGTTATGAAGTTACTATTGTATACGACTTTACCATTCATACTAACGTATAAAATCTAACAGGTAAAACTTAATGATTAAGGACAAAAATAAAAATGCCATTATATAAAGTATATCTGTTAAAAAGAAATAATAAAGTAAGGATCTTGAAACGGAAATAAAAATTATAGCACCTTGAAACTACTGCTATAATAATTGCTGCCCTGAGTACGCTGAAAAAAAGATACAGACAAGAACATTAACACAGAATCCTGTTTACAAGAGATTAAAAAAAGATTGCAATATGTGGAACTACTCATACCCAGGAAATTATTGCCGATGTCAAGTAAATATAAACACTGTACATGTTAAGTATCATTTAACATTAGAATTTGTGCAAACAGAATGCATATATTTACTATCTTTCTCTTGTCTCGGTTAATGATTCGAGAAGGCATTCTACTAAACAGAAATAATAATAATAATAATAATAATAATAATAATAATAAGACAGAAAGTCTGGTGCTCCCGCTGTACGTCTTGAGGTCCACGACAAAATCCATAGACGAATATGCAAGATGATAGGCCCTGATCTGGCATCTAGTCTACAATCACTATCCCGCAGATGTGCCGTGGCCTCCCTCTGTCTCTTCTACAAATATTTTCACGGCAACTGTTCCGACGAGCTACTTTCGCTGGTTCCCGGACTACATAACTTTAAACGTGCTATCAGGCTGGCATCTCGGTCCCACTCTTTCACTGTAAAAACAGTTAAATGTAACCGTCTCCTCTACTCAAACAGCTTCTTCTCCTGCACTTCCCATCTGTGGAACTCCCTTCTTCTTACTTGCTTCCCCAATGACTATAATCTTCAAATATTCAAGTGTAATGTCAATCGACATCTGACACCCTGAGCTTATTCCCCGTCCTTCTCTGTATCCTTTCCTCAAACACGTCTCTTCACACTCGTTCTCAACCCCCTGTGTGCTAGTGGCACTCCCACCTGGCCTGGGGTGAACTGCTTAAAAAAAAAAGAAAAGAAAGAGTGTGTGCATTCACCACCGTCAGTAATCGAGAATGAGCAAGTGAAGCTCATGTCGAATACAACCATCTTGTCTGACAAGCGCTTGAAAAGAAATCACCCTGATATCATACACAAGAGCAGTCACGAGTGGACCTTGATAGATGTCGCGGTACCTTGTGTTAAAAATATCGTGAAGGCGGAGCAAGCTGAAAAACAAAAGTATTAAGATTTGGCAGGGTAAATCTTGGAAAAGTACCAAGAAGCCGATGAACTTTCCCTTTTTTTCTGTTAGCGCGCTCAGAACTATTTCCAGAACTCCTTAAGCCTTACAGAACGCCTTGGAGATATCTGGCATCATTAGGAGTGCGCAGTTGGCAACGCTTCTTTGTAACTACTGACGAAAGTGTAGTGTCTCTAAGCTGCGTGGAAGACCCGAGATAAGACTATCATTACGCGGTCAAAATATCTTAGAGTCGGAAAAGAATTCATAATAAAAATAATAATCAAAGAATTCGGCCTATTTACGAGTGACGGGTTTTATGAACAGAATTATATATTAAATAAATGTAGTATTCGTTAGTATGACGGTTTTTGCTTTTCTGTGCTGTTATCACAATTCCTATAGTGCTGATTTTAAATTAAGATTTTATTGTTTCAGAAAGGTTTATACAAAATCTCAATAGTAAAGCATTAAAAATGAAACCTGATATTTCTTAACTTGCCTGGTTCGAGGATTACTGAAAATAAACCGTAATTAGAAGTAAGCGTTCTTATAATATTGGGCTACAAACAGGTTTAGTACTGCAAACAGGTTTAGTACTGAAAATAAATAACTACAAGTAATAAAAAAAGGAAGAACAACAAACAAAAAGGAAATAAATAAGCGTAAAAATAAATAAAAATTGTCATTAAAATAAAAGCTAAAACAATTCTGTTCTTGGACAGAAGGGAAAAAAAATAAGATAACAAGAAATTCGAAAGGAGACACGTGACCAGTAGCAGGCTGAACTCAGGGAAACAAAAGACAAAAGAGAAATAGCAGTTGCTTGAGAAGCCGAAATACCAGGCAATTACAATGCAGACCAATAAAATAAGCGTTTACATTTGCATAACTTTCAGATCGATGTATATTTTGGTTCAGAGTGTTTAAATCGCTCCGAATCAAAATGAATCGAGTTTTATTCGCTCGTAGATTTGCCAGCCACTGAAGACAATCTGACCACTTAGTTGTTATTGATTTTTACCGGCACTTGACAGAAGATGAAAAGACAGCGATTTTTCGTATTTCCAAAATCAGTTCTCAGGTCACCGGACCACTACCCTATCCACATTGACAAACCAGTAAGTAATCACGTGAAGAAACTTTTATTTAAACTTTTCTCGAATTTTGCAAGCACATAAATGAAAATACGTATAATAAGTATATATATATATATATATATATATATATATATATATATATATATATATATATATATATATATATATCGTTATAACAATTATTCTAGTGTACAGTCTTTAGGAACCAGCTTTTTCTTCTATGTTCCTCCGGCGATAGCGGCTCTCTACTATTTGTTGTCTTTTGTCGCTAATATATTTTTTTTCTCTCTTAAATCCTGCTCTGTCATCGATTTACTCAAACTTTTTAACTAGGTTTTCCCCTCTCCCTCTTACCTTCAATCTGCCCTCTGAGCGTCAAATTTTCTGAGCTCACTTTCCTCATTGTGTGCCTCAAAGATTTCAAATTTCTCTTTCTGATGTTAAGTATAAGTTTCCTTTTTTGTTGACAACTTCTCTAAAACTTCGTCATTTTTCACATTTTCAGTCCATAGTATTCTCAGCATCCTTCTATAGAACCATCTTTCTGTTTCTTCAAGTTTCTTCTTCACCTGTGAGGAGATTGTCTAGCATTCACTATCATATAAGAGGACTGATATTACGTAACAGTTCAGTATTCTTTTCTAACGAAAATTTCTCGTTTCTTAATATTTTGCTTAGCTTTTTTAAAGACATCTTTAGCTATCTCAGTACCCCTTCGGATTTTAGTGTTGCATCTTCCTATCTCTGTTAAAACGCTTCACAGATATTTCAATTGTTGTACGTGCTTGATTTTGCTATCTCCAATTTGTATTTTCTATGTTGGCCTGTTCTTTTTGCTGACATTCATGCCTTCTGTCTTCTTGCAATTGATGCTTAGTCCTTTTTTCGCGCCTTTCTTCTGTAAGATCTCTTGAAGTTTCCTTTCTATGTCTGCTATGAAGACAGTGTGTCTGCATAACGTATATTGTTAAGATTGTGTCCGCAATTACGTTTAAATTATAACGGTAGGAAGCAAACTAGCCTAGAATTATCCTATAATTTTCAATATTCCACAGACATAAAAATGAAAAGAAAACTTACAGTTTACTGATCACGAAGTGCAAGGGGAATCACTGATCATGCCTTCTTGCAAAAATTAATCAAAATTTTCTTTTCTCTTTTCATGTTATATATCAATACATTGAACTATCTCAGGTTTCATTAAAAATAAACATGTTCGTATTTTGTGTGAAACGCCTTTTTTTCTTTTCCAATTCGAATGCTTATTAGCCAAAGATCAGGTGATGATAACCTGCAATCTAGAATTGTTATAGTTCGGACATATTTAAAACATGCAAGCATTACACATTTTTGAATTAGTGCTAAACTTATACGAGAAAGTGTCTTTTAAAAAATGTTCAACTTCTCTTCATCATTGAACCTTTCTACTAAGCACTGGACCATATCTATTTCTAGAAGTATTATTGATATATATTTATATCCAGTTGATAGATGAAGTTTTCCATTTCAGTGAAAGGTAGGCGAACAATAATAACAAAGACGGGTGGGGAGCATTAGTCCGAATATATCTATCTATCTATCTATCTATCTATCTATCTATCTATCTATCTATCTATCTCAGTCTGCTAGAATGTATCCATCTGTCTTAATTCATATCTATGTATCACTCTAGTTTGTGACCAAGTACCACACATTTCTGTTTTTGAACTTCACAACAAAGTGTATCGTAATATGTTAGACACAAAAATCGCACCCCTAATCAATATAATTGAAATTATCCAATTTTTAGACGAAATTTGATATGAATTTGGGAAATACCCAACTGAAAAACTCTCCCAAAAAACCCCATCGGTGAGTTCTTCCGATACTGACAAAAAGGGATTCATTTTTTTTTATCAACTTAAAAATCATTTTATCTTTCTTTGCCATATTTATTTTTAAACTAACTTTTTTTCGTGTGTCTCCAGGACGTAGACACTCGTAGCTTTCCATAGATTCCTTTTCGTCATTATTTGCTGCCATGAATTCTTTGTAAAGAAAGTCGAGTGCTTTTCTGTTGCTTTCTTCGCGGTTTTTAATACAGAGTAATCCTTCTATTAGATTGATTGTCGACGCTTTAGAACCTATTTTTCAGTATCCTGGTCTCTGGATTAATAAAGTTTTATCAAACATTGTTCTCAACTTAGTAAGAATATGGAAGATTTCACTGATGCAGATAACAAATCTTATTTAATTCAGAATAAAGAAAATGTTAAAAAATGTCATTTAATTCAGAATGCTAAAAAATAAACAGCAATTTAGGAAGAACAGATATTTGAGAAAAACTAAATTCTGATGTCAAAATTCTGAACTCAATCTTTCTATTTTCCAAAGATTTTCTGTCATTATTTACTAGGCGTTTCTTAGACATTCACAGAGCTATAAGAATGAGAAAAAAATAGCAAGAAACAAAATGACTACAAGGAGGAATGGTCGACGAAACAAAGTTGTCTAAAAGAAAGTAAGGCTGGAAATGTTTTCTATGAATTGGTACATGTCTTTATACAGTAGTAGAAAATTTAATAAAAAAATGCAATTTCACTATATCAGCGAAGAGTCTACAAGACTAGATTCTACCGTTCTTTTCAGCGGCAGGTAAACTAAGAGTAATTTATTATTTAGTTTAGTTTTTATCTGGCTACAAAAGAAAGGATGGTTTGGGAATTTAGGTTCATTACTATTATTCAGCAGTGGGTATATTTACCCAGGTCGTTTTAACGTGGGGAGCACCATACGCATACGTATGCCAATTGTCAAGACTAAAAATTGCCTAGTCCCCCTCATGGCCTCTGTCACGCTGGCATCGATTTTACACCGAACCTACATTAATTAGTGTAATGAGGAAGGTACTGTCGATGGGTTGTAATCCCCGGAACGGGACAAGCTCTACAATCTAAACTAAATTTACTCCATTTTAGACACAAAAGTTTACTCTCGTACCAGGCCAGGTAGTCACAACTATCACGATCACGAGTCCGTAACCCATTAAGTTCGTGGAGTCACCACATGTACTGCAACCGTGGCAGTATTGGTGTGTCCTGGGCAAGATCGTATGACAGAGCCCAACCTTCTTCAGGTTGAATTCTGGGTTTTCTTTTTCCTAGAGTAGTTGCCAACCAAGGCTATAGAACCAAATCTGTTCTGATATTTACCCATAGATGTAGGAGGAGAAGAGATGGGTTCATACTTTTCCTAATTGTATTTGTGAGTAAGTGAATAGAAAAAGCTTGACTAGAATTCGAACGTTTCTTTTTCCAAGTCGCTATACATTACACCACCACACATCCACACAGCCATAAATACATTTAAATTTATTATATTCTCGCACAAAGCTGCAAACACAGGGCGCCTAATATAAATGAAACTCATTAAAAGAACATCATATTTTAACAGTAAGGAGACATAGAAGTATTTATTGCTTATTTTGGTACAAGTATGGCTGATTGTTGTGGATTCCGGAATGAAATCCGGTACCAATAAATAACAAACGCCAAGAATGAATATAGGAAAATAATGTATTAACGTAATAATACAAACTGGTAATGCAGGTTAGTAGGAATACGGGTTAGTAGCAATATATATATATATATATATACAGTCTTTGGTATTAAAGTATCGCTGTATGACTTCTTACTGAGTCTACGTGCTCGCTCACTGTGACTCTTGCTCGCTACGTTCGTTCTGTCTGTCTGTTACCTTCACCCTCTGTTGCTCTCGTCTCTCGGGTCTTCACGTAGCAGTAGTATATGTATATACTGGGTGAGTCCATTTGTGTAAAAAGGGGAGAACCCTTCAACACTAATGCTAATCTCCAGAAAGTGACTCATTGCGCCTTCTCGGACTAACGTTTTCAGATGACACGAAGTGGAAAGAGTTTAATGAATCTATTGCTAAGTCTACAGTTAGGAAAGTTTGTTCACTATGTCGAGTTAGACAATTTTTCTCGCCAGAATCTAACCTACATATTTATAAGTCTATAATTCATCCTTGCTTTGAATATTGCTGCCAGATGTGGTCTGATGCTGCTGTATATTTAGAAATTCTTGATAAAATCCAAAGACGGATCTGCAATGTTAATAGTCCTGACCTTGCATCTCGCCCTCAGTCTCTTTTTCACTGCGGTAATGTAGTTCCCCTGTGTTTTTCTTATAAATAAAAATACTTTCATGGTAATTGTTCTGATGAAATTTCCTATATGGTACCTAGATTTTATGAATTTAAACGAAGTACTAGATTGGCGGCAAGGTCCCGTCATTTTACAGTTGCAACGACTAGATGTAACCGTAAGTTCTATGCTAACAGTTTCTTCTCTCACACTTTTCTCTTGTGGAAATCTATACCGCCTTCTTGCTCGCCAGTCAATTTTGTTCTTTAAATTTAAATGCAATGTCAATTGTTATCTTCTGTCTCCTTAATTCTTGTTCTTTTATCGACCTCTCTCTTTAATAGTAGTTTTTATTATATTCTCTAATATTCAGTAACCTCTTGAGTCCTAGTGGTAAAGAAACACAAACATAAAATAGTATTCTCTATGATAGAACCTTTCTTTGGTTACTATAATGTCTTTACAACGATTAAGCTTAGCGGAAAGTCTCTTTTATTAAATGTACGATGTCGGAAAACGAAGTAAAAAGTGAGATCCATTAAACCCGACAGATTATTGAAGTTTGATCCATAAACAAGATCATTTAACAAATATCTAAGAAAGTTCACGTTTAGTTACAGCATAGCAAAACAAAATTTGATATTCTTAAGCGTTTGATGAAATCAATTAATTAGAATACACAGTAATTCAATGAGTGAAATTCTGCAATAAACTTGAGAATGAACATTGATTCGTTTTGCCTAACAACGTTTGGCGTATGAAAGCTCTTTTCAGAGCGCTAAATCAAGGGTCGAAGTTTTATCAATAAATGTAATCATAGGGTAAGATGTACGATGGAAAGTTTCAATTAAGTCAATGAATTGCAAAACAAATTTGCTTGTTTACTTTAATTTTAAAAGCTTAAAACAAAATTCTATTGAATGTTTATCCTCAGATCAAGACTCTGAAAAATATACTTGTAAGTAACCAATATTTGTTTAATTGTCAAGAAGTGGGATTGAGTTCGTTGATAGTTTCGTGTTTGTTCACACCATTCTCGGCTAACGTCTGAGGATTCTGTGAATAAAATTCAATATATATATATATATATATATATATATATATATGAAAAACATTTCTTACGTCTATCGATTTAACAAATATTGATCAAATATAAGAATTTAAAAAGAATAACGCGCTATTCCCAAGAGGAGAGAGAATTCAATTTCATTTGTGAAATCTTTGTATATCTCCACGCAATCTTCAATTTCCTGTCTAGCTTGTTAAAGATTGTAAACAGATACTTCAATTTCATTTTTGGGATCATTTCGATCATAACTTATTGTCAACTGTCTACATATTTTTTTTGACTGATTCGTTGTCTACCCTTTGCGCGTTATTTAAAACCCGAAATTATTTTTAAATTGTAAAATTATTTGTGATAATAATGGTTTACTGATACAAGTCTTACCTATAGTTGTGGGGAAGAAAGGTGGATTCATACCTTTCCCAAGGGTAATTTTGCGTAAGTGAATATAACGAACCCAACTGAAATTGGAACTCCGCTCTCCGATTAACAATTCAGAAACATTATGTATTACACCATTCGCACATCGAAGCTTGCAGCATCTGGTATGACCAAACGGTAACACGTCTTATCAGGCTCGACGTTGCTTAACTTCGGGGGTCATACGAGAACCGGTGTTTCAACATGATGTGGCCGTAAACACTGAGGATAGTGTGAATAAACATCGAAATATATACATGAAAAAATATGTTACGCCTATCGATTTGACAGATATTGATCAAATATAAGCTTTAAAAAATACCCCGCAGTTGCAGCCTATTTCCAAGAGGAGAGAGAATTCTTTTTCATTTGTTAAATCTTTGTATATCTCCACAGTTTTCAGTTAAAGATTGTAAACAAATATTGGGATTTGATTTTTGGGAGTATTTTGATCATGGCTTATCGTCAACTGCCTGCATAGTATATTGTTTTTAATGACGTAAGTGTTAGTGTTCTTTGGAAATCATAGGAATCACATAATTACTATCAAATACATACTGTATTAAAACTGTGACATACCAACTGTTGTTATTTTTTTTTCAATTTTTTTTAAAGTCAGTTTAAGATATTTCGGCATTGGCAAGAGATTTTTCCTCTCGGATCTGTGAATTTTTCCTATAAAATGATGAAAAGTGCAACTATACGGCCAGTTCAAAATAGCGCAGCGGTGAGAAGAGAAAAACAGTATCAGTCAGCCAGATAAGTGCCATACGTGCTACACACTTGTCTCTTCCGATTCACTACTGACTAGGCAGAAGATGTTCCCGCCGTAGTTTGCTATTTCTTTCTGCGGTAGACAGTTTGCCAACCAAGGTTATATGACACAGTCTGTCCTGCTATTCAACCCATATGAGAAGAGGTGGACTTATACCATTCAAAACGGTACTTGTTCGTAAGCGAATGTAACGAAACGGAGTGGAATTTGAACTATCCGAGCCGATATCCATGACTCCACAACG